TCTTGGCATTTCTCATTTGCAAAAGATCTATCTCCCTGTTTCCTTTTATCAATCTTTTATTTTGCTCTGTACTTTACTTGTGTTTTGATTTCTCATATGAGAGAAACCATGTGGTATTTTGCAAATGAGAAAGAGACCAAGAGACCCAAGGTGGAGGGTAAGGAGAGAAAGGGGACATAAAATGATTTACGACGTGTCACGTACCTGTACCAATTACTCCCAATGCATGTAATCACTATGTCACAAGCATGAGCTAAAAAATTAATACTAATAAAAATGGAGGAAGAGGATCTAGACAGGGAAAGGCAGGGGGATAGGAAAGGAAAGTGGAATAAAAACACATATGCTAAGTACACATAGCTACTCCTTAAGGTGAATGTAAACATACTGTCCCACAGACATGTCCTAAGAAATACATTTTTACAGAATAATGCTTCCTGTCTTGAAGCTTTTAAAAAAGGATTTGTCTCCCCAAGAGAAGATTTTATTGCATGCTTATTTGAACAATGAAAATGAAAGGGAAGTTGAATTATGAAGACAGAAATTTAGACAATTACCATTTAAAGTTTTCTTTTTATTGTCACAATTCTATTAGGATATAAAAAATAGTATTTCCTGAGCTGGATGCGGTGGCACACACCTGTAATCCCAGCTCTCAGGAGGTGGGACGGGAAGATTGCTGTGAGTTCAAAACCAGCGTGGGATACATGGTGAGTTTAAGGCCAGCCTGAACTATACAGTGAGACCCTGTCACAAAAAAAAAAAAAAAAAAAACTAAAATAAATAAATAAAGGAAATAATATTTCTTGAAAAGTCATATGGCGCTCTTGGTAAGCGTCTGCAACTCGGGCCTGGAGGAGAACAGAGCTCCAGAATTCCGGCCATGGAGGGATTCGGGCAGCTTATTCACCTGCCCTCTTGATAAGCACCTGCAGTTTGGGCCTGGAGGAGAACCATTACCTGTGAGCCAACTTCCATGGGAGCTGAAAATCAAGCACTCTTCTCCCACCTGGCCCCTCCCCCCTTGCCTACTGGGGATAGATATTTCAACATCTCTTGGGAGGATGACCATAAGCAGTATAGCAAATATGGAGATTTCCTTCTATCTTCTGTTTGAAGGCATAGATTTTCACTTTTTGTTATATTTCTTTTGCTCTATTCAGTATTCTCAATTCATTTTACAGTTTTCTATTTTTGGTTTGATTTAACAATACATAATTGACTGGATAGCTATTGTTAAATTAAAGTGATATACCATAGTACTTTAGTACTACTATCCCAGTATCCTACTGTGAAATCCTGTACCAATGTCACAGCATTGTCTCGATTGGCTTTGTTCCGTCTTACGGTGTTGCACAATTACTACTTTCAAAATAAAAAAAAAAAATACATGTTAAGACCCATGCATGTGTAGAGTCTATAAACAGTTTATGAGAACTGATCTTATGACAACTGATGAAATGAACAGATACTTTGAAGAAAAGGAGACACTAAAAGACCCAGTGCTAATCCTGGAGTGTCATAATGTGAAACCCAGCAACAGTGTTATTCTTTGTTCAGAGTGATATTAGTCTGCTTGGGTTTATTGAAAGCCAACATAATTGAAGATATGGGTAACTGCATATGTGGTTAAGCATAGAGGATTGATAACCATATTTCTAAGTTTTTGTTGGATAGTTGAGCAGAACTGGTTGCAGTCTCACTGTTTGAATCCCCACTTTCTATGCTCCAATTTAGTATCTTGAATAACTATTTGTAAGAAGACAATCTGTAAGCATCAACTAGTGATTTCTTATTGTTTATTTTTCTTTGAAAGTATGTATTATTATTACCTGTTTTCTGTTTTTTTAGTCTTTCTTTAAATTCAGTTTTAAAAAGAAGACACTACAGTATCCAGTGCTGATCATGGAGTGTCATGAAGTGAAATCCAGCAATACTATTATTCTTTGTTGAGAATGATTTTAACCTGCTTTAGTTTGTTTAATCTAAACAAAAATGAAGATATGGATAACTGCATGTATGTTTAAATGTATAGGATTGACCACCATGTTACTAAGTTTTTGTTGGACAGTTGATTAGGACTTTTTGCAGTCTCTCTGTTTGAATTCCCACTTTACATGTTCCATTTTTGTACCTTGAACCACTATTTGTAAAACGACAACATCAACTAGTGATTTCTTACTCTTTTTTTTCTCTGAATGTATGTACTATTTTTGCTTTACTATTTCTACCTATTTTTGCTTTACTATTTCTACCTATTTTCTGTTTTGTTTAATCTTTCTTTAAATAAAAAAAAAAGAAAAGTCATATGGCTTAGAAATGGACCCATCACTACTCTTGAGACTTTGTAGTAGGGTTCCTCAGGCTTGAGCTCCAATTACACTGCTTCCGGTTGCATGACTTTGGATTCACTCTGTGCCTCTGTTTTCTTTCTTTCTTTCTTTTCTTTTCTTTCTTTTTTTTTTTTTGGTCTTTTTCATTTTATCAGTACCAGGGATTGAACTCATGACTGCCTGCTTGCAAGGCAGGCGCTTATGCCGCTGAGCTAAATCCCCAGCCCCGAGCTAAATCCCCAGCCCCTGTGCCTCTGTTTTCTGATCGTTACAGCAGGTCTCATCATTGTCCCTGATTTATAAAGCTATTTTGAGGCATCAGAACTTAACAGTGGAACTAGCATCTTGTAAGAAGTTACCGTCACTTATTCAACAGTAGTACTACTTCCTAAGAAAGCAGGTGCTCTTAGTTGACAGACTTTTGGTTTTCTGCTTATTGGTTGTTACCGGCTAGTTTTTCTCTGCAGTGAGTTTAAAGACAATGTCTTTTGTAGGAGAAATCTAAGCAGTGCAAACTGTGTGAGTACAAAAGTGATTAAGTGAACCGAGGCAACTTCTTGTCATTTGAATTAAGAAGCTTTTTTGTCACTTGTGGGTTATAGGTAAAATTTTGGGGCTTTTCAGCTTGGGAAAGGAATATTTTCTTCTTCATCTCACTTAAATGTACAGGGAAAATTAGATGACTTTAGCGTGGCATGCTTGGGGAAAGGAAATTCCAAAAGCATGTGTCTTGCTCCCAGAGGAAGACTGTTTAGAAGAAGAAGCTTCAATCTTGAGACAGACTTGGCACGAATGAAGCACACAAAATCTAGGATTTAAAAATAATTGATTTAGGGGCTGGGGATTTAGCTCAGTGGCATAAGCACCTGCCTTGCTAGCAGGCGGTCGTGAGTTCGATCCCTGGTACCGATAAAAATGAAAAAGACGAAAAAAAAAAATTAAAAAAAAAATAATTGATTTAATTAAAAATAATTGACTTAATGAAAGACACAGGTCCTTATATATCCATCCTCTTCAGGCAAATCTGATCCAAACTATTCATCTATACTTTTTTCATAAAATATAACTCCATCAATGAGTCTTCCAAAATACTTGGATATTTTAAGTGCTACATTTAGTGAATCTATGGGTTTATCATAAAAACCATAACTGATGCTTAGAGACACATGTGGGTTTAAACTATTCATATCACCTGTGATTAGATGCATTTATCATCCTGCTTGTTTGTAGTATTTATAAAACTAGTTATTTGATTTCTCAGTAATTCCCCATAGATCCACAAACTGCTCAGCAAACAATAATATTTATGATGATATAAAGATCAGACTGAATTACTAAGGATGTCATGTCTTCTTTAAAATATTGTTGGCTTTGAAAATATGATCTGTTGCTTGAAAACAAAATTTAACGGGAAAAATATTGTTTCGTATGTAAAATATTTGACATAATTTCTTGAACATAATGAGCATGTAGCTAAAAGTTAGTTTCTCTTCTGCCATGACCTGAGGCGTATTTATTAGCTGTTCACTGTCTAAATGTCTCAGGCTAAATTCAAGAACAATCAAGGCTTGGTGTTCAATTTGACTGAGAAAAAATATTTAAGGGTAAATAATACAAAAAGAATGATATGAGATTCTTTTTTCTGCAATTCTGCCCCAGGGTTTACAATCTTGTCATAGCAAGTCATACAAACAAGAAATGGCACCTAAAAATGCTAAAGTGGCACTGATGTAACCAGAGATCTAGAAGGAGCCAACAATTTGTTGTCTTCTTAATCAGGAAGCGAGTCAGGGAGAGTGTGCTTGCAGCTCAACCCTAAAAGGGGTGTAGAGTTTGGAGAGGGAGATGGGACAAAAGGTGGGAAAATAATCTGTCCTTGAATACTCCGTATTTTTATCTTTGGCTACAGCACATGTACAGATCATCTATAAATTTTAAAAAAGGAAAGAAAATAAGATCTTAGTCTCTGTGTAATCTTTGCTCTTTCCCAATCTGCTGAAAGGTGACTTGAGGTCTTTAGAAACTCTCAGCCAAAAATGTCATAAAATTCTATAAATGAGTTCTTCTTTTAAAAAATACTGCAGGATTCGCTTTGTGGCGAGAGAATAATTAAGCAGGGAGAAGTAAAATAAATCCTCAAATTTCTCATGATAGAATCAAGTATCTTTTATTTTGTTATTTACACTCTGGGGGAAAATACACCATGTACCACATTTTAACCTGCCATTTCTCCCTTTTTTTGTGAAAAAAAAAAAAAACTAACATGAAAATTGTCCTTAAAGCCATCATATATAGATATAAACTACATTTTAAAAATGACTAATGAAAAGCAATTTGTTGTTTTCATTATTTGCAAAATGTTTAATTGTGATTTGTCTGAGAAAAAAGCTAACAACCACCATAGTAGAATCACTTACTGGACAATAGATTAAAGGAGATAGGGGGCAGTTCTTTCTAGATTTCTAGCTTTATTTCATTTTGATATGCATCATCCTATAAAAATTCTGCATCTTAACTTTAAAAGAAAGGTGTTGATGCAATGATTGGAGGGGGTTGGGAGAAGAAATGAGGCAGATACAGGGGCTGGGAGAAATTTACAGCTGGAGCAGACTCTGAGTGGAAATTTAGAGTGTACACCTAGCATGTTTTGTGCTTCTTTTCTTCCAGAGAGGAAATGACACTTCAGATTCCCTGGGATGCTGGAACCACATGCAAAAAAGGATGGGCAAATTTGTCATTCAGAATTTATGAAGGATATTTTTTCTTCTCACTGACTAAAAAGAACAAATCAAACACTAGGTTTCCAATTCTGAAAATTAGTAGACTCTGGAGAGCCAATTAAACATTATTCCCCTATCTCGACTCTGTTTTAACATCCTTCTTTATTGCACACTGTTTCTTTCGCTCGCAAGGCAGGTAGATGGTGTTATCAGGCTAATTTGGGGACAGTTATCATTATAATGTAATTTTTTGCAATTATGTGGTAGACCAGGTGGCAAGACAGCATGGCTTTGCATTGCCAAGGTGCAAAACAAATTCAGTGTTCAATCAACCTGAGAGAGAAAGGACAATTCTCATTTGCATAAACATGTAGCCACGGAAACGAGATGCACAGAGGTATAAGGGGAAAGAGACCTATTTTACATGATGTGCATAGAATATTTGACAGTTTAGATTGGAGGCGTCATTGATGTGGGTTGGAATGGCACGGTTGGTTGCCATGGATATGGTTTTCCCTACTGGCAGTGCAGAGATTGGCAGGGATGGATGCTGGAAAAAAAAAAAAAGCCCAAAGCACTGCAATACTCTGGCAGCCTCATTCTTTTCTTTTGTTGAAAAGCTATGTATCCTTTCTGCACTAATGACAGCTCATCAAGTATGCAGTGTAATCTAGAAACACTGATATTTCTGTAATAAATCATTCATGTATAATATATATGTATTTATACATTCTATGCACATATATATGTGCCGATCTACATGTATATATTTGGAATAACATGTATGCAGATTAATAAAAGATTAGATTTGAGGGAAAAATATTTACTCTTTGACATTCTTTTCTATTTAATATTAATTTGGGAAATCCTTAGATATTAGGATTTGATAAGTAAAATAAACACTATATAATTGTATGGGATTATGATCTAACATATGAAAAGAGAATTGCACAGTTTGCTTTTGTGCATTAGACAAACAATGAGAGGAAGGAGGAGTGATTCCTCCCACAGCCTAATCTCTGATCGTTTGACCCCTACAGTCACCGTCTTGCTGTTCCACAGTTACACAAATCGTGTTCACCCATGAGAAAACAAGGTGGTTTCTATTTTCTATTTTCTATTTTCTATTGTAGGTCCTAGCACATTTAGCACAGTATAAACCCAAACAGGCTACTTATGCTGGGTTTCAGAACGGCTGAAAGCATTTAATTTTCCCTTTCTAAAAGCTCACTCATTCGTTCCCTTGTTTTCATATCGTCAGTCCATAGTCTGGCTTGTACAAGGCCTGCAGGAGTGTCTTTTGTCTTTCAACATTCACTCTCGAATATATCATGTGAGCATTTTCTGAAGGACCACAGCTCCAGATGCCTGGTCCCGCAGAGGGAGAACTGAGGGCTTTTGTCTCTCCTAATGGGCAGCTCCTGCCTCAGCCTAACTCCCAGGACTTGAATTCTGCTGGACAAGTTCTGACGACCCTGTGGATTTCCTCTCTGCTCCTTCTAGGATTCTGAAGGAATGTCGAGTGGCTGGTGTTCTGTAAACTGTATCTCCCTACCAATGGAAACCGAGGAAAGAGTTGGAAACTATTTATTATATAATCATTCTGAAGCATGACCATGTTTTCTACTAATATAACGAAACAGAACACAGCCAAGAAGAGTTTCCATAATATTTGACTTTGCTGTTCATTGAACCTAAAGCTGATGAATAATTACCAACTAAATAAATCTTTATTGTGTTATTTTTTTTTTTGTCTTTTTTTTTTCATTTTTGTTGGTACCGGGGATCGAACTCACAACCGTCTGCTTGCAAGGCAGGTGCTTATGCCACTGAGCTAAATCCCCAGCCCCTATTGTGTTATATTTAGGAGAGTGGGCAGCTGAAAGGATGGTTAAAATAGTCTTTCCTTACTTTATAAGAAAGGTCTTTTTATAAAACAAAATGAGGACAGCATACATTGATAGTACATAATTTCCCCTTATTTTGCATTTTTGGCAAAAATCTATTATTTATTAGCAAACCATATTAAAAGCACTGGCTATTGTTTTTGGTTTATATCTTTAGCATGAGACTTAGTGGGTCAGTGCCTGTAAGAAGCCATGCTCCTAACACCCAAAACCTCATTATTGCCCTCAGCTTTTCTCCGGAAATCATTCAATAACTCCTGGCATCTTTTCTGTGATAAGCTAACCAATAACCTCTTTCTCAAGGTGAAACCCAGCTGTAATCATATTAAAGCTATTTGTTAGCTTAGTTTACTTTTGCTTTTGCTTCTTGGAGTGGAGAGTTCTTCTTCATTTCTCAGATTCATTTCTTTCCAGTTGCGCATGGTGGGCATTAACAAACATCTGTTGCAAGAAAAAAAAATGAAAGCTGATGTCTGCTATAATCTCCGTGTTTCATTATTTCTTATATTTTAAAGACAAAGTAAGAACTTCAACTGTATACGTTCATTCCCTAAGACCTATGTATAAACAACAAGATTCAGAATGATTCAAAAGTGTTTAAGAATGAGGAGGAAAAAAATATAGAGACCAACATAGTATACAAGATCAAAACAGCTATATCCATGTGATCACAGGTACATGTCTCTGTACAGCATTTTCCTGCCTAGACTTAACTGTGACACTCATTTGGTACTTTATCATCACCCTGTTTCTATATTATTTTCTTTTGCTGGCTTCTTGTTTGTGTACTACCCCTCTGTATGTGGTTGATATAAGAGATCTTGTGCTGAATAAAAGTCAAGAGGTGCTTGGGGCACTGGAGACACTTATAGATTTCCACACGTTCATTTAACTTATATTAAATATTTAGGTGATCTTGCATTAAGCCTCTTACACATAATAGTGGAGTCAGGTGTGAGGAACTGGCATGTAACATTTATATCATGCACAGAAGAAGCTTAAAAAACCTTATTTCTATCTCAAAGACATAAAATTGCTTGCTCATCATTAAAAATCAATCCTTCGTCCCATAGGAGTAAAGAACGATGAATGTGGTTATTTTATGAGCAGAGACTTGATTATTTCACGCTGCGAGTGTGATTCTTTGGTGGTCAGAAGGAGAGTTTCTGAGAGGTCCCTGTTCTTGGGCAAGTGCTCACTTGCCTCAGTCTCTCTCACTCATAAACCAGAAGACCGTCACGTGTACTGGGCTTGCACAGGGTTCATTTCAAATCAGGCAGGAGGCCTGCCTCACACAGTAAATGTTCAAGATTAGCATCTGCAAATCCTTATCCTTGCATATGCAGATGGACTGATTCACTTCATAAGGCTTTCAATACTGTCTCATCTTTAAGGATCTGGCTAACTATCCTTTTTTTTCTCACTTCCATGTTATTTTATTCCGTATTATTTTAGTCATTTTAGTTTCTTCCATATAAGAAAAATACATATTTTTACACTTTGCCTCCTAGATTCATTTTTCCTGCCTAGAATAGATACTTTCTTTGTTTCTCACTTTCTGTCAAAATATAGGCAGCATTTCTTCCTTGAGAGGAGAATAAGGCAGCAAACTGATTATTTGTTGTGATCAGGCTTATTAAAACAGACAGAAAACTCAAGTTCATTTCCCAGATCTGTCATTAGGTGCTTAAGAGGGGAGGGTCTTTTCTTTCTTTCTTTCTTTCTTTCTTTCTCTTTCTTTCTTTCTTTCTTTCTTTCTTTCTTTCTTTCTTTCTTTTTCTTTTCTTTCTTTCTCTAGCTTTTCTCACTTGTAGAATGACACCTTCTGATCTTTGTCAGCACATTTTGACTAAGTGAAACACGTTGGTCATATTTCCAAACTATGGTGAGTAGTAGTTATTGACTTTTCTTATTTTTTGGCTACAGTTCCAGGTGGGACAGGTACTTAGCTGGCCACGATAGAGCAAGTTCCTGGGGAAAGTAATGAGGAGAGCCCATGGGCAGAGTGACATGGGGAATGACATTCCCAATGTACTGTATGTCTGGTACAAGTTCGTGTTCTCTAAAATTGAAGAATGAATTTTAGGAACAACAGAGGTTAAGAGCAGAATAGATTTATTGAAAGGAAGAAAGCTACTCTCTGGGAGAGAGAAAGAAGGGGTCCCAAGTGAATTGCCAAAGATTGCCTTTTCTAGGGACTTTTATAGAGTAAAACCACAAAATGAGGCAGGTCTAAGGTGGGGAAAACATGGGAACTTGCAAGGCAGGCATGAGGTGGGACAGAACTATGGTCAACCAATAAGATTAATTGTTCATGTAAAATTGATTTAATCAGGGACAAATGGGGAAGCCTGTCATGAATCAAGCTAGCGTGCCTAAAAAGCAGTGGCTGTTCCTGTAGGAGTTTGGGATGGTGATTCCTGGCTTCCTCAGGGTGACACAGACCTATTTAGATTATCAATTTCTGATGCTTATCCTTAGGAAGTATCTGGATGCATTTGATTTATCTTTACTCGTGAGGCCTGGCCCACAGTGGGAGATGTCTATCTCCCCCAAAGTTGCAGGGTATCTGGCTGTCTGCACTGACTCCTTCGAGGATCCAGCCCTGTCTGACTGCTCATAATAAATATTTCTGTCTAACTCAGTTGCCTGTAATAAGAGGACCTGATGGCAAGATTATCAGACCTGGACAGGAAGTGATGAAAATGCACAGATTTGAGAGTTAATGGTGCATTGTGGTCAATCTGTTGAGTATGCCTAATTGTCCCTAAGCATTATCCTTTATACCTCAGAGTCTTCATCTCCACATGAAATTATAGGTCCTTTTGTCTTCTGTCTAACTCCAGCCCTTTCCTGTGATGGCATGAGCTTTGGTAATAATAAAGCACAGGAAGCACATTTGTTATGTGAAAGATATTGAAATTCCTGGTAAGCCATACATTTCCTTATGATGGCATTTCTTTCATCCTGGTAAACTTTTACTGTTAAAATTTCCACTCGCAAACTTGTCTACCTGTTACATGCAATTAGCATGACCCCACGAGTCCTAGACAATGATTTTGCTTTCTCTTCAACTACTTCTAAAGAGCTAATGGGGGAGGGAAACTTTCGATTTCAGAATGACTTAATCATGTTTCTTTATATGGCAAAGAAAATGTGCTTTTATTCAGGGCCAACCTCAAATTTTCATTTCTCTGGTCTTCCAAATGCCACATGTCATTTCCTCATTGCACCACTGCCCCTTAACACCCACGATACAAGCCATGTTCCGGAGTGAGTACACCCACCTCGGTCTGCTCTGGAGGGTGATGCCCTTCACCATTCACATTAAATCTGAACCCTGCATCACTGCTCCTAAGCTGCTATTCATCAACTTCTTTTTCACATTGTATGTAGCCTCACTGTGGCTTTTTCTAATGCCCTTATCTCTATCATTAATTTTACCCTCTGATGTGGTAATACCGAGGGATATGATTTACAACTTCATAAAATGAGTTTTTAAAACATTAGATAAACTAGTAAATCAATTTTCATATGAGTCAGCACTCTAGAGTTCTGAAAGTAGACTTCATTTACCTCTTTTGCCTGATTTCATCTCAGGTGAGCTGACCAGCATAGAACGATGCATAACAGAGCAGTCATGCATCACATGTGGCAGTGGAATTCGATCTTTGAGGTTCTCCTAATGCCGTCCAGAAGGGGATTGGGCGGGAATAGGCATCTCCTTG